CATGACTACTATTACTACTAATTCTGCATGTACTATGACTACCACTGTAACTGCAATTGCTGCTACCACTATTACGTCTGTTAGTCTTTTTATTATGCTACTAATATTACTGCGATTGCCAATATTACCTAAACCACTACCGGTTGGGGAAGGTTTAGAGCTGAGAGCAAGACTTTTCGCTAGGTTATATCGTTAAGCCAAGCAATCTGTCAGTCAGGTCACTGGTCTTGTCCTGTCAGTTGCAGGCGCGTATTCTAAAGGTGTCACACGGATGAGGTGTTCGCTGTCCGAATGCGCTTATGTTACTTGACACCTGTGCGGCCTCATAACAACGGGCGTTACCCTATGTGCAGTCTCACACAGCAGGTCAGTCTGTATTCTGCCAATTTTTGGTCTTCCCTAGCTACTTCTTCTGGCTTGCATTGGAGAAAGCGGCCAACGACACATCCGGTCTGGTCTTCTTGACCCACGGTGAAGGTGAACAGTGCGGTTGGCGCTAATTACACCCGCTATCACTTTAAACTGCTACCTGTAGCCAGTCCCTATCTGTGTACTAACCTGTTGGTGCATATGGTGGACTTCATCAAAATTGACGGTCGGCCCATAGTCATCACTACTGATATTACTACTATTACTGCTGTTACTCCTATGGCCACTATTACCGCTGCCGCTACGGCAATAACTGCTACATCCTGTACTAATATTGCTAGTATTACTTCTACCGGTACTTTGACTACCTCTACTACTGATATTACTACCATTACTACTACCACTACTACTATTAGTGCGACTAATAATACTACTGTTAATGTTACTCTTGTCGGTACTATGACCGCCCCTACTACCGATATTACTACTACTGCGACTAATTCTACTACGACTACTGCTATTATCCCTTCTACCGATACTATAACTACCACTACTACTGCAAGTACTGCTACTTCTACGTCTATTAGCAATATTATTACACTGCCATTATTAGTGATGCTACTTCTACCTATGCCACCACCGAGTGGGAAAGGTTCAGAGCTGAAAGCAGGGCTTGTTGCCAGGTTGCATCATTAGGCCAGGCAATCTGTCAGACAAGTCATCAGTTTAATTCCTGTCAGTTGCAGTCGCGTATTCTAAAGGTGTCACACGGTGAAGTGTTGGCCGTCCGAATGCGCTTATGTCCCTTGGCACCTGTGCAGCCTCCTAACAACGGGCGGTACCCTATTCGCAGTCTCACACCGCAGGTCCGTCTGTATTCTGCCAACTTTTGGTCTTCCCTTGAAATGCGCACATTCGCAAACGGAGTTGCGCAGGA